TCTCTGGTAGCATTTGGTACGGCATTACGAACATTCTTACCACATTCGTAACACTGTGCTGACGTGTCGTCTTCTATTTGCATTTTCTTACCACAACACCAGAAACCCTTGGGCTTGGGTATGTTAACTTTGGATCTTAGACAAATTATACAGAAGTCATTGGTGAACTTTTTACATTCATGCATCGTATATCCAACAAAATATCTTAACCTCCATTTACGGTACCCATCAGCAGTAAGGGAATCAGCACGCGGGTAATACCTGACTCGGACGCTGTTACGTGAGCACGGGGAATATCCGTGTAATTCCGAGGGGTGACCGCGAGTCCCCCTTACTGCTGCTAATGACCAGATCAGAGATCAAATAATTTCAACTTGCCGTTCGAACGAGCTTCGACGCAAACTTCTTGAGAAGGGACAGGCCCTCACTCTGAAGGAATTACAAAACACGGCAAGAACATTTGAGGCCGTAAAACGACAGGCAAGGAATATGTGCAACTCTTCAGACCAAGGCCCAAGCCATGTAAATTGGATTGGTAAGAAACCACTCAAAGGAAGGGGAACAGGACAACAACCACCAAGGTCAAAAGAGAAGAAAGAGGGAGAGAAACCGAGTAAAGGTTCGTGCTACAGATGTGGAAGACAAGGACATTTTGCAAAAGATGTTAACTGTCCCGCCAAAAACAAGGTATACAATAAATGTAAGCAAACGGGACATTTTGCAAACTGTTGCAAGACCAAGTCAAAGGAAGGTACTTCCAATCAAGGGGGTAAGGGAGTTCGTCAAGTAAATGAGCAGCCAGATTATCCATTTGCAGTCACTACAGCAGACAAGGAGATACCAAAGATTGACATTGTCATTGGGGGAATTCAACTTGAAGGAGTATTATTGGATTCTGGATCTACATGTAATGTTATTGACAGACAAACATGGGAGAAACTCAAGAGTGAAGGAATTGTTTGCAAGGCAAAGAAGTCTAATAGAAAGCTGTTTTCTTATGGTTCAGAGAAACCCCTCAGTACTGTTGGTGAGTTTGAAGCTGAACTTTGTTACAAGGATAAGACAATAACTGTTTGTTTTGTTGTAGTTAAAGAGTAAGCAATTCCAATTTTGAGTATAGAAACCTGTGAAAAGCTGGAAGTCCTAAAGATTGTTATAAATAGTGTTGATGAGCGGTCTTCTATATTTACTAAGTTCAAGGAGTGCTTTGAGGGAGTTGGAAAACTCAGAGATTTCAAGGCCAAACTCCACATAGATGATAGTGTTAAACCAGTAGCCCAGCGGCAGAGACCAGTACCTTTTGGTGTAAGACTGAAAGTGGAAAAGAAACTCAAGGAACTTGTGGATGCTGATATTATTGAACCAGTTACAGGTCCAACACCATGGGTAAGTCCAGTTGTAGTAGTGCCAAAGAAAGGGGATGACATTAGACTTTGTGTAGACATGAGAAAGGCAAACGAAGCTATTGTAAGGGAACGTCACCCTATACCTTCAGTAGATGAAATTCTATACAACCTAAATGGCAGTAAAGTGTTTAGTAAGCTAGACCTGAAGTGGGGCTTCCATCAAATTGAAATGGACGAGAATTCCAGGGATATCCCCACCTTCGTTACACACAAGGGACTGTACCGCTATAAGAGACTTATGTTCGGTATCAGTTCTGCACCAGAATTATACAATCACATAATTAGACAAGTCCTAGCTGGCTCTGAAGGTGCTGACAACATTTATGATGACATAATTGTRTATGGGAGCTCGGTTGAAGAACATGACAAAAGGCTACGAGAGACACTGAACTGCATCAGGGACAAGGGGCTGACCCTTAACAGAGAAAAGTGCGAGTTCAGGAAGTCAGAACTTACCTTTATGGGGTATTTGCTTTCTGAAAAAGGAATGGGCCCAACAGAGTCCAGGATTGAAGCAATAGTTAATGCACGAGAGCCACAAGATGCTGAAGAAGTACGCAGCTTCCTAGGATTAGTGAACTTTAGTGCTATATTTATCTCAGACCTTGCAACGGCTCAAACACACTAGCATATTTTGATAGAGATGCAGAAGAAACCAAGCTGATCACAGATGCCAGCCCAATAGGATTCGGGGCTGTACTCACCCAAGTTAAGAGTGGAACAGAGCGTGTTGTAGCTTATGCCAGCCGCAGCCTAACAGATGTAGAACAAAGATACTCGCAAACGGAGAAGGAGGCTCTTGGTATTGTTTGGGGCTGTGAGAGATTCCACATGTATCTCTATGGAGTTGAGTTTACACACTTAACAGACCACAAACCCCTGGAGATAATCTACTCAGCTAGGACAACAGCAGCACCAGCGAGGATTGAAAGATGGGTTCTCAGGCTCCAGCCTTATATGTTCACAGTTAGGTATATTCCAGGGAAGCAAAACATTGCTGACACTCTGTCGAGATTGACAAACATTAAGGGACACTGCATTGATAAAGATGCAGAGGAATACATTCGTCACGTTGTTACTATGGAAACACCAGTTGCTATGAGCCTCAAAAAAATCGAGGAAGAGTGTGCATCAGACCCTGAGATGTCACAGTTGAGAAGATGTATACTCAGTCACAGTTGAGAAGATGTATACTCACAGGTGAGTGGGATGACGTCCCCTCTCAATACAAAGCAGTAAGATATGAACTGTCTACCTTAGTTAAGCTTATACTAAGGGGGACGAGGTTAGTAATACCAAAGGATTTGAGAAAGAGAGTCCTCAGTCTTGCACATGAAGGACACCAGGGTGTAGTAAAGACAAAGCAAAGACTCCGTACCAAGGTGTGGTGGGCAGGTATGGACAAGGAGGTTGAGGACAAGTGTAAAGTGTGTCAAGGATGCCAACTAGTTGCTCAACCATCCCCACCAGAACCCTTGAAGTCAACGCCCTTCCCAGACGAACCTTGGCGGGACCTGGCAGCAGACTTGATGGGTCCTCTCCCTGCAGGTGAATATGTTTTTGTCGTTGTTGACTACTTCAGCAGATATTTTGAAGTGGACATATTGAAGTCTACTACAGCAACGAAGATCATCGAAAGCCTAGATAACATTTTCTGTACTCATGGTCTACCGATGACCTTAAGGACAGACAATGGTCCACAATTGGTGTCGGAGCAGTTTACATCATATCTAGCTGAGAATGGGGTAGTCCACAAAACATCAACACCTTTGTGGCCCCAAGCCAACGGTGAGGTAGAGAGACAGAATAGAAGCCTACTTAAAGTACTTAAGATTGCACATGCAGAAGGAAAGAACATGCATTCTGAGCTAAGAATGGCCTACAAGACAACACTTCACAGCAGTACGGGTAGTACACCAGCCAAGCTACTCTTTAATAGGGAAATGAGATCAAAGTTACCAGAGTTAAAAGAAACACTACCAGCCTACAGTGAAGCAAGAGACAAGGACACAGAAAMAWAGCAAAAGAGAGCTGATYATGCTGATACCAGAAGAGGAGCTCAAGAAAGCAACATTGTACCAGGTGACACAGTCTTGTTAAAACAAAGAAAAGAGAACAAACTGTCTACAACTTTTGGAAAGATCCCATATGAAGTTACCAGCAAGAGCGGCAGTGAGGTGGTAGTAACCAATCCTGAAAGAGGAAGTTACAAGAGGAATGTCACAGAGATAAAGAGGTTCTTCAAAGATGGTGATAGTGAAGACCCAGTCCACGTTCAGCCTAGTTTTGGGAGCATCGAGACCCAACAGGAGAACTATGGTACAGGGACTAGTGCGGAGACTGTTTTACAGCCGCAAGGCACTAAACAGGAGGTTCCTAGTACTCCAGCAAGACCCAAGAGAGAGAGAAGATCACCAGAATATTTGAAAGACTACCATTTATATAAGTGACACTTTTCAACTAAAGTCTAGTAGTTCAATCAGACATTTGACATTTTGTTGTTTATTGATATAGTTTAATCTTTTCTAAGGAAGGAGGGATTGTAGTGTCGGGATCCCTGTGTGTATAACGAAGTATTATGGTCTAGATAGAGACACATGGCATGACCGAGTTGTGAGAGAAAGTCAGATAAGCTATGAACAAGAAGCTTTATTAAAAGCCTAGTTACACCGTGTTGGGTATTTAGAACTTTACAATGTACACTTTCACAAATTACCTACATGATAAAGCCTGTCCCTTACTAAAAGCCAACAACATGATTCTTTTGAATTCATTTTCATCCTGCATGTGTGCCACTGGCAATGTGAGAGATCGAGCGCATGCTCCCACGATTGGGAAACATATGGTGTGGTTTGGCATTCTTTCATGGCACTTGTCAAATTTGACTGTTATCAGCTGTTTGTCTCCATCAACAGGTCGATCCTGTTGTCCAGTCCACCAGCCTAAAAACTTGGTGGACTTGCATCTGCTATTTGAGTTTTTTGAACCTCTTCGTCATGCTTTCCTCCTGCCTCATCTTCTGTGTCATTATGATCATAAGCAAGACCTTCAGCACTTACTGTAAGAGTGGTATCTTCAGTGTCCATTATGAAGTCATGAAGGTGGTCAAATAGTTTATGCTCTACTACTCTGTGTGCTGTACCCTCCTCTGAGTAATCAGGACGTAAGAGGGAAACCACATAATTTGCATCCACACTAGATGTATCTATAACAAAGAGTTCTTTACACAAGTCAGCATTCTCTTTGAAGATATCAAGGAAACCATAGTAGTCAAGTCCTCTCTTAAATTATTTTAAGTACACCAACCTGTTTGCAACAATGCTGAGAGTAACTGTACCTATTATATCTTCAACATGTTCTTCATCCAAAGGTCCAGTATAACCATGCTCTTAAATGGTGTCTTGCAGTGCTGCAGCTTGATGATCATTTCTTATGTTGTTGAGGAGCTCCCTCTCATTCTTTGTCAAATGGTCATGGGCAGAAAGGTTAGTCATGTCCACCTCATCATTGACCAACATATTGTATACACACTCTTCAAAGAGGCAGGGTGGTGGTCCACCTTGCACTATACTAACAATAGAAATCTGACCACATGCATCGAAAAATCCATTGTGAGCATAGAGCATAGAGTCAGTTGGTGCACCATTCGGGAACATCTGGCTTCTGATATGATCAATGGTGTGAGTCAGGAATTCTCTTGACAAGGCACCTGTATCATTCCCATCTTCGCCGTCAAAGTGAACTTTCAAGGTACATTCCGAGAGTGTTTCTTAACCCCTCTTTGCCAAATTCGAAGACATCATTGTAGACCTGAGCCCCTTCTCACAACTAAATAGAGCTGCTCTTCTAAATTGACTTTTGTCTCCAAAGCTGTGACAAGGCTTGTAGGGCTATCGAACTTAATTTGCTCTTGATTTGAATGTTTATCAATGACTGAAACTTCTTTTTCTGTGTGACTCCTAGGAGAGTACTGGTCAACAGACACTTCACCTTCCATTACCGTGTCATCTAGTTGAGACTGAAGCTCTCGGGCTAACATTTCATCACTTTTGACTTGAGTTTCTGTCTGCTTACTTTCTTCTTTTTTCTGGACAGTTGTTCTTCCTTCTCCTCCTGGATATCATCAAATATAGGCGGGTCCTCATTTGCAAGAAAATTTTCATACGTACACAGGTAGAGAACAATGCCTTTGTAATCTTTGCCGATTTCCTCTTTATACCTTTTGAAACTGAAAAACTCAGTGGTGCCAGGACGAAATTGGGCTTCCTTGCCACTTTCATATAATAGAGTATAAGTTTGTACTTCTTTATAATGATTACAATGATAGGCTTTGAACTTTGCCTCAGCCTGTTCAAGAACATCAGCATATGGAGCTTTGTTTGAAATTCTAAGCATCTCTCTTTTTCCTCTGACTGGTTTTCGTTTGGATTCTTTTTCACTAAATTCCATCAGCCCAATTGCTATTCCAACTTCCTCTTCTTTTTCACTTTCTGGCACCTTAGTTACATACTTTTTCCACTGTTTTCCCTTTTCCTTACAATACGCAGAAAATGACTTGATAGATATGTTTTTTCCTTTGAAAAAATTCACTTGCACTCAAATTTGCCTTTGAAGATGCATCTGCAAACAAAATTATAATTTTCATTTTAAAAAAGGTTATAATTATGCCAATGTGAAATAAATAAACGAAAATAAAGAAAGAAAGAAAAAATAAAAATAGGGTTTGCCCAAAATAAATTGTTTAGGTAGTATTTAAGAAATTCTATATCATAAATTAAAAATACTTTAAATAAAAACTATTTCAATACCAATGTTGCATGTTTTTCATATCGTAGGCATCAATAACGTATTCATTTTACCTTGATTGTTTTCTGTTTTCTGGATACCTAAGGAAGGATAAGAGAAATAACCATAAATTCATTGTTTTGCCATCATAGCTCAGGGTATTCACCTTGGCCTTTAGAAAGCATGTAATCAACGTAACAAAAATCAGCCAAAAAAAACCACGTTTATGGCAAAGAATAAACAAACGAACCAATAAAACTAAACCAAATGCAAGGACAAAATGTGGTTCCAGCAGCAACACTCTTCAAAAATTTTTTATCTTGACAATTGTAAAAACTCTCCACTCTCTGTTATACCATAGTTAAAAGAGGGGAATGGTTATACCTGTTATGCATTTAGGGCATTCAAAGACTTCATCGTCAGAATATACTCTCAGGCAGCCACTGGTAGACTCGTGTACACCAGGCGAGTGAAGTACTTGACTCTCATACCCACATTTTGGACAAGTTTCTTTGAAATTTTTTCCTGTCCCATATTTTTTTGCCGTAATATCGTCGTGACTATAACAGTAGAAACACCATGAAACTTTAAATATCTTTGTTGACAATGAAAAGAACTGAATTCATTCAAGATTTTATCTTTTAACTAGTCAGCAACTGTATGTATTGCATGAATAATAGTCCATCAAAAATACATTTTAACAAAGGCATTACCCCTAAAATCGTGTGCAAACTGGAACCACATGAAAAGGACGATCAAGCATTAACTTGCCTTCTCCGCAGCTGCTGCAGAATCTATCTTTCGAATTAATACTAGTACCACAACTTGAGCAAAACATGATTTCAGTCAGTTCGAACGTGAAAGGTGAAAGAACGTCCGCCATTTTATAGTCCAAGATGCTTTGCGGTAAATCATGCCCAGGCTCCCGCCGCTAGGCTATTTCTTTTCTCCGTGAGTTTATTCTTTTCTCCGAGAGTTAATTCTTTTCTCCGTGAGTTATTTCTTTTCTCCATGAGTTATTTCTTTTCTCCATGATAGTTATGGGCCACCGTACAAAAGCAATTTGAGTATGTTTTGTCACATACCATAGTTTGGCTGTACTCTTACGCTACGAACTGTCGCCTCTCCATTTTTGAATTTGGGGTAGACAATTGTAATTTTCTCTCACCCATCCTCAGATGTTTTAACCTTACGCTGAAGGTTGTGGTTAAAGTAGGTTGCTGCAATAATGTGCCTGAAAAAATATTTTAAAGTTAGACTGTACAAGTAGGGTGTTTCTGTGTAAAATAATTGTTCTGTGAAGAAAACTGCTTAGTTTGCAATATAATGCGAAAAATTATTTCTTTGATTGGCATATATCTATCCAAACATTTTGTCTTTTCTTGGTTCAACTCGTTAGTCACCAGTCGACATTCTCAAAAACTTGGATGCAAATTCAGTTCTCATAGTCTTGGACTGGGCCATGAAATTCCTCCCGAGAAAGTACCGCGAAAGCCAGGCAGATTGGTTTGGTAAAAGGGGAATTTCATGGCACATAGCGGTTGTGACACGAAAGTTAGAAGGCAAAACAGAAACTCTCACTTTTGTTCACATTTTTCAAAAGTGTTTTCAAGACAGCCCAACGGTTTTGGCAATCGTAGATGATGTGGTTAGACAGCTCAAGACTATCATGCCTACAGCAAAGAAGGTGTACCTAAGACAAGACAATGCTGGGTGCTACCACAGTGCACCTACAATACTGGCACTCCAGCAGATAGCAAACAAGTACAAGATACAACTAAGATTGGATTTTTCATATCCTCAAGGAGGTAAAGGTGCATGCGATCGCAAAGCAGCTTCTCTCAAGAGCCACATAAAAATGTACCTGAATTCAGGAAAAGATGTTGATACAGCCTACCAGATGAAGAATGCTATTGAGTCCCTTGGTGGTGTTCCTGGTGTTAGAGTGATGGTCTGTGATCCTCCTTCTGTTCCTGTGGGTGAGGCAGCAAAATGGGACGGTGTCAGCTTTATCAATATCACTGCCTATAGCAAAGACGGAATACGAACCTGGAGAGAGTACGGTATTGGCCCTGGTAAATTCCTGAAATGGAGCCACTTTAGTTTGCCGAAAAAGTACCCAACACCACAGCTAGAGGTAACTAAGGACACCGAGTCTCCAAATGCTGAATTTGTTGCTATTAGAACCAGAAGCAAACCAAGTAAACCACAAGGTGCAGAAAAGTCATCAAATGAAGACAGACACCCAGACCATTCAGACGAAGAAAGTGATAGTACCACAGAAAACAAATTGTTTTCTTGTCCATATGAGGGTTGCGTAAAGAGCTACCAAAGATATCAATCCCTACAACATCACCTTGACATTGGGAAGTGTTGTATCCTAAACTTAGAAATAATTAGTAAAAACACCAATCTCATACCATGTGCTCAGGCTCTCGTTTTTTGTTTATTCTGCGCATGTTCCACAGGAATCACATATGAATACAACATCCTTCCTTCTAAAAAGAATATTAACATAAACATAATCACAATATCTTCACTGTTTCTGCTGTATATGTAATGTCTTCAACAAAGTAACTTAATGTTCATAATCGTTTCTAGTGTTCATAATCTTAGATAATCTGGTGGTCTTCTGTTTGATCTGGTAGGGTAGTGATGAGCTTTT